ACTACATGAATAAAATCAGTATTAAAGTTTCTGCTTCTGACCTGCAATACTTGTATTTTTTCAATTTTTACACAGAGCACCAACAGCATTTTGGTGCAATCATGGGAATACAGCACTCTACTTTATAAAACGAACTATCCCTAATTTCTAAGTAACAATTAATTCCCATCTTATTTCGAAAATATTTGAAACTACTAAACAGTTGTTTCACAGAACTTAAATTGTTGAACAGTTATAACATATATTAATATAATATACTTATAATATAGGATTGTAGCTTGTGGATTTACAGAACACTGATTATTCGCATCAACTCACCCTACAGACCTCAGTGCATACCAAATGCCTTTGTGTATTTAGGGCTAAATCCAAAGGTACCACCATAACGCCTACCTTTTAGGTATCTGGACCTTGGAATGAGATGCAAAACCCAGAGTTAGGTTTCAAAGCTCCCTCTACAATACATGGCAAAACTTAGTTGCCTCTTTCCCATAGCCACCTCAACCTATCCAAGAAGAAATGCTAAATATAGATGGGGGTCTAAACTTTGAGACCCTTTCCAGAACACAGGTACCCAATCAGGACTACAAGCATATGATTTTCTTCTCTGGAGCTAGAGCCCAGCATCTGCCCCTGGGGGTAAGCACCTACACCTGCTCTTTTGAAGACCTGAAGAGGACTTATTGCTTTCCTTTTAAAAGCATGGTTGGAAGAGGGGCTGACAGCATCGCCCATGTTATCATCCAATAGCCTAGTGGTCAAAACACTAGCCCAAGAAGTAGGAGACTAGTTTGAGTCTCATAAAAATTGCCATTTACTTGGTCAGACCATATATCCCTCTTGCCCAGTACGTTGTGTAACAATGGCAGAGAGTAGATGCTGAAAGGGAGAGTAAACTGGATATGACTACAGTTTTTTCCCCACTATTCCTCTCTCTTGCAGTCTCCAGCTTTCTCTGCCCAGCCTCAGGGGATTCAAACCCACGTCACTTACCTCAAAAAAGGTCTCCACCATGCTACAGGCCAGGGGTCAACAACATATGGCCTGTGGAGCCACTGGATGCAGTCTGCAGATCTAAAGGGCTTTGCCTGTGCCCATACCCATGCCCACACTGAGGCCAGGTACCTTCCAGATGTGCCTGCACAAGTACTGCTTGTTCCTGCCCCCTCCCCCCTCCTGTCCAGCACAGGCCAGATGGTTTCAGCCACAAGTCAGAGGCAGGCGGCTGTGCCACCACTGCTTCCCCCAGCTACCTGCTCTCCAGCTGCAGAACAGGTGCAGCTTCCAGCCCAGGGGAAGCTACACTGAGGCAGGGCATCTGCAAACTGTCACTTCTCTCCCCTTCCCTGCCAAGAGTGTGGGCACATCTTGCAGCTCTGCACTGACTGGAAGCTGTGCCCAAGCCACAGGCAGGGAGCAGGGAGAAGCAGCAATGTCTCCCAGCTGCCTGGCTGGGCACAGGAAAAGCCCTTTGCCACTGATGCACTGCTGAAGACACCCAATCTGTACTGGACCAGAGCTGCGTTTTCTCAGCCCACTTCTTGTAAAAGGCTGCAAGCCTCTGCTATGTAGGGGCTGTTAAAGCTGTACCACTCTTCAGAAAGAAATTAAGATTCTTAGGAACAAAGGGAGAAGAAGCAAGGAGCATAACTCCATAGCATACTGGTTAGGGAACTCAGCTGTGAGAAGCCTGACAATCCATTCCTCCCCCCACCCTCCCCCAACTTCCTAGGCAAGAGATCTAACCACTAGGCCACAACATAAAAACTATCACTGCCACTGCCTCTAATGACCGCATTTTAAAAAGAAAGCAGTTCCAGCCTCATTTTGTGAAAGGCAAAATCTTGTTAGGGTGTGTTCAGCGTGCTCTGTGCATACTTTTTTAATCAGGGGACTTCAGCATCTCTCCACCTTTCTAAATCTAGATGCATCTTGCCTGCTTAGGACAAAGTTTTGTGCACACACAAAAAAAATTAACAATTGTAATTACAGCTAAGAAACTTTCAGTTCTGAGGTGTCTAATGAGTTTTAGATGGTTCCAGGCATTATGCAAGTGGTGGGGGGTGTTGGATCGTAACTTTGAACATAATCACCCAAGCCCTTCTCTGGACCTCACCTTTAGTACAAGGTACAAATGTCCACCCAGGAATTTAGCATGAAGTAGAGAATGTGCTGTAAATCCACACCCTAGCTTAGTGTGCATTATCTTCCTTGTGCAGACAAAGCCTCAACATTAGGACAACCAAATGAAGATGTAAAGCCAAAAGACTATTTATGTACAATTAAGGTTATCTTCACAACCAGAAAAACCAAAAAATGGAAGTTTTCATACAGAGGCAAGGGTGAAAGGGACCCCAAGAAATCACCTAGTCTAAACCAGGGATTGAACCTGCCACCTCAGTGTTATTAGCAACATGCTCTAACCAACAAAGCTAAACCCTTAAAAACCCGGCAAAATGCTATACACATGGTGACACCTTCACATGGGGGAGGGAGGAATCAAGATTCCCATTTATTTATATGAATTTGTTTATACTGCCTGAGTTAATATTTGACTATGTTCTAAATCTCAACATAGACTAGGCAATGTAGATTTTAACAACACTATAGTTTTAGAATATGATAAACTAGGATTTATAGAGGTTTTAACTACTATAGCCCAAAGCTCTACCATTCTCAAAGAACAGATTGCCTAATCTTTGGGTGGCCAACCTGTGGCATGAAGGCCACAAATGTCAGAAGCAACCTCTGTGTTGGGCACATGGCAGCCAGAGGAGGGGACAGGAAGTTACAGCAGTCAGCAGCAATCAGATTGGGCAGTGAGCAGGGGACAGGAAGCATAAAGCAAAGCAGCGGATAAGGCATGGAGTACAGGGCAGGGAACATAAAGTAGAGCAACCAACTGTGTACGGGCTGCAGATTCCAGTAGCACTTGGGGAAGGTGTGGAGCTAATTTGTGGCATGTTTGACAAACAATTGCCCACACTGGTAATCTATGCTAGAGATTAAGAACACAAATGGAACCTCCAAATCTGACTCTAGACCACAGACTAGCAACCTCTAGCAGGCATGCCACAGCATGGCACACAAGACCATTTTCCTTAGCATGCCACAGTCAACCTGGGCTCTGGACAGCTGCCACCAGCCACAAAGCCCAGGCTGCTTGCAGCAAGCGGCCAGGAAGCCCTGCTGGAATCATCCCAAGCTTAGTGGCAGGCAGCAGCTGGCCATAGCCTGGGCTAGCTGCAGCCAGGACGCTGCAAACTAGTGCTGGGGCTATGGAGCCCCATGCAGCTTACATGGGTATGACAGCTGTGCAGGCACCTCTGGGTGAATGGCTGGGAAGGGGCCTGGGGCAACACAGGCCCGACCCTCCCTTGCCATCTGCCCAGAGGCATGTGTGTGCAGCCACCACTGCCACAGAGCCACTGCTTGGGCTGCAGAGCCTAGCGCAGCTGCCTGCAGCTGCCCCATCACCTGCTGCAGCTGTCCAGAGTCCAAGCTGGCAATGGCAGGCAGCTCGGAGGCTACAAACAGCTGCACTGAGATCTGCAGCTGTGCACACACCTCTGAGCAGACAGCAGGGGAGGGGCCGGGGTTGTGCAGCGTAGGCCCCTTCCCAGCTGCACGTCCAGAGGTGTACATGCAGCCATCGCCACCAGAGACAGTGGCACAGAGCCCAACACTCCAATTTTCAGCCTTCCGACTGCCTGACAGCTAGCCCAGGCGCTGGGCAGCTACAGCAGGTGGTAAGCAGGCTGCAATCAGAGCCCTAGCACCGGCTCTGTGCCAGCGGTGGGAGCATGCAGGCCTCATCGAATGGCAGGGAAGGAGCCGGGGCAGCGCAACCCCAGCACCTCCCCCACTGTCCACCCAGAGGCACATGTGCAGCTGCCACCAGCAATGAGGATCAGACCTCTCATGGGTCCCACACCTCTGGCATGCCAAGTCAAGGTGTGGGCGGAGGTTTGGTGTTTTCTGGCCCTCTGGCCAAAAAAGTTGCTGACCCCTGTTTAGACAATGCCCAAGAGCTCATAAGGTCAAGACAGTGCTTTCTAATTTACAGTACAGAGAAGTTACTGCATACATTGGCTGTCCACACACACTTTCCACCGCAAATGTACTCTTAATGTACATTAAGAGCATCCCTACAATCATTTATTGCAGAGTACCTAGGTTACTGCAAATTCATCCCCTAGCTTACTAAGTAGCAGATTCCCCAAATATACAAACATTAGCAAAAGCACAAGGATATGCTTTCTACATCATACATTATAGTGTTGTTAGTGCTTGATCCAGTTATACGAGCAAACTGGATTCTAGGCTGACACACAAGCCTTCAACAAAATTGCTACCTAAATTCCATTTAAGATTCTTTAGTAATTCTAATGAGGGGCAAAGTTACTCTGATTTTGATCTCAGTCTACAGCCCATTAAGAAAACAATTTGTAAACTGAGCAAATTTGATCTAAGAGTCATTGCCACAGCAGGCAGTCCCAAAGCACCTGTCACATTTCAGAATACAACTGTATTTTAAAATCTCTATAAAGAAACCAAACCTTGCATATACCCTATTATGCTAAATTAGGATCTTGAAATGCATCAGAAAACGTAGCTGTTGATACCTCATGTTAAGTTTTAAAGAATGCTTTTAAAAGAAACCTCTGCCAATACCCCGTAACAATTGGGGGGATATTTTCACAAACTATCTTTTCATAATTCTCTCCACAGCAACCAAGCAGTAGATGGTCTTTTTGGGCAAGAGAAAAACAAACACAATAAGTAAATAAATAAAAACATCTGACTCAGTTTAACGTTCAGCGTCGCACAAACACAGAATGTTTAAACCAAAATTCTGCATTTGTCCGCATTAAACTACTTCAGAAAAAAAAAGCATGAGGTATACTGTCTGCATCACCGATCTTCATAAGGTCCTAAATATTCAAACCACAACAGACCAAATGGCAGGTTCTTTTAGAACACTGCATACATGTACTCACCCTTCACAACATGCTTTCTGGTTACCACAAATAAACATCCCAGGAGCTCCCAGCTGGATATGGACACTTGGGACAAAGAAAAAGAGCAGCCTTTTAATGAACTGTTACAAGTGACAGTCAGGTTCCAGGAAAGTCCTAAACCCTGGGAACAGAAGAAAACGCCCGATTTGGAAATCAAGCGAGAACTCGCATCAGTTTAGGTCTCAAAACTTATGGCCAATCCCCGAAGCACCCCCCATACAAATCCTTTTCTACAAAAAGGGGACAACTGTAACTTGGGGCCATGGAAAAAGGATTCCTTCTCCCCCATTTCCCTTGGGAGAGGGGAGAAAAGGAAAAGCTGAACTCCAGCTTCCCAGTGGCAGGGGGGTTGTGGGGCTGGGGTACCAAGCAGCTGCATAGCAGAGGAGCCCCCAGAACAAAAGGTCCAGCCCTTCCCCTGACACTCTGACACTGCCAGTCCGCCTGCCCGCCCACCCCATTAAGTCTTTCCAGTCAGAACCAGGAGCCTGTGAATCAGTTCTCCACCTCCGCCACCTTCCCTGGGCATGAATCATTTGCCCCAAGTTGGGGAGAGCTCCCCAACCCCTCTGCTGACATCTATGGCGGAGCCTCAGAAAAGAAAAAAAGAGCAAGCAGAGGGCTGGGAACAGTCCCTGCTCGGCTCAGCCTCGACAGCTTTCCCGCCATGGCCGAGGGGCCGGGGCTCGCAGCGGGTCCCCGCCGGCTCCCGAGCCGGTCGCACGCGGCCGCGTTTGCCCCGCGCTTCCCCCAGAGGCGCCGGCAGGGGGCGGGGGAGGCGGCGCGTGCCTCACAATAGCGACCGGAGCTGGCGGGCTGGGGGAGGGGAAGCAGCGACCGCTGGGGCCGCCCGGGCTAAGCGGCGGCTTCCGGCAGCGGGCGGCGCACGAGGCTGCCG